CTGATTTGCTAAAGAAAGTACGTAATAAATGTGATTCTCACAGTGTTACAGCCAGCATTAGAAGACGAAGCTGACCTGAAGTATGACATATTTACGGAACAGAGTCTACAGAAATCTTATCTGTCCAACAGCCAGACCGTTCAGGAGTAAGCAAAGAAAAACATAAAAAATTATCACACTGCTCTTCTTTTGCTCATAAACACTTGTTCAGGCTTTATTTTTCTTGTTCAGGCCGCCAAGTGAGCAGGAAGTTACTAGGATTTCTGTATGAAGTTGACTTTTCACAGCGTTACCCTCCTACAATGAAGTTGGAGTTTTTAGAATCGTCGATGATTGAACAAGCCATTAAAAGTGTAGAAACTCCGACCGAACAGGACATTTTGTATTGTGATGTCAAACGACTTCACTGCCTACTGATGAACGAACTTAACAACTACCAGGGTAACATCATGGTGACTCAGAGACCTCGAGTTTTAGAGGTGAGATCGATATCATGGTGACTCAGAGATCGCGAGTTTTAGAGGTGAGATCGATATCCCAATTATTAAGCATTTAAGATCCTTACTTAATCCTCTTTGTGTCAGGTGATGTAAAGCTACACAGTCTCTCTTCCCAGCCCAATCTTATGCCATTGATTTCACCCTTCTCCACGATGACTGTCTTTTTCATGTTGTCTTAATTTCTTTGACCTGCCCCAAGGTTGTCAACATTTCAGCAAAATATAAAAGTTTTATAAATTTTTCAGGAAGTTGAGAATATTCTGCATCATGTGGTGCTACGTAACAGAATCCGACAGGAACTGTCCACCAAACAGCAGGCTCTGGAGGTGGGGCGTCAGGTGACGGAGGTTCTGCTGACCACGTGTCCTGAGGACCTACTGACTGCTGAGGACAGACAGACCGTACTGTTTGAGCTGCTACAGGAACTACAGAGAAGGTAAAAACAATATCTGTGTGTCTTGTTTACTAACCCTAAGGGATCTGGTTTTAATATACCAAAACATGAGCATCTAATTAATGCCAGGTATTGGCCAAATTTCATCTGTATACTTAAGGTTATGTGTAAATCTTGCAAAAAGATGTATGGAAAAATGGTACTGACACATTTTCCTTCTATCACAATATTCATGTACAAATGTACCTGTCAATTGCTTTCATTTAGGGAAAAGGGAGGGGAAATTTTGATTTTACAGAGAAAAAAGTTTTAGTATTGCGTCCCTTGATACTACATTTAACATAAATCTACTCATTATTATTAGGTGACAGAAGATGATGCCTTGACAGAGTTAACTGCCCCTGTGGCTGAGATCATTCTTACTTGGATGACAAATCTATGTCAGTGTTTCTGTCAGGATTCTGTCACCGACGACGAAACCTCACACTTCCTCACCATGCTGGACTCCACAACAGGTCAAGGTCAAACAGGGTCATGGGGTCAAGTGTCAGGGTCACGAACCCAATTTGCTTCCTCCCTTCAACTGGAGCTTAGAGGAGTGATAGATCACATTATGCTCTCAAGTAAGAATATATTGAAATATCTGAAGTGTATACTGGATGAAAATAACAGTTTCCGCATGGCTGAAACTCTACTGAAACTCTGCGGAAACTTTAGGTTACTAATAGTTTCCGCAAAGTTTCAGTGCGGAAACTTCAAGTTTCATCAAGTTTCCGCAGTGCGGAAACCAAAGGTGTCCACGAATCCAAATAGTTTCCGCAACTGAAACTTGCTGAAACTTGAGGTATACGCAAGTTTCAGTATGCGTATATGGTTGAAATACATATGGTGTACCATAAGTTTCCTAAACTGAAACTTGCTGAAAGTTGAGGTTTACGCAAGGTTTCAGTATGCATATACGGTTGGAATACATATGGTGTACCATAAAATTCCGCAACTAAACTTGCCGAAACTTGAGGTTTACGCAAGGTTTCAGTATGCATATACGGTTGAAATACATATGATGTACCATAGGTTTCCGCAACAGAAACTGTACTATAAATTATACAATTTAGCCCAGCTTTTCAACCAAAACTCATTTTCCCCCTGAATTTTCATATTGGAAAAAACAAAACACACTCACACTAGTTATCAAAGAATATTTAATGTTATTATCAACATTTACATACATTGGCTTGGCCATTTATTTTCTCTTGCATCATAAATATTTTTACAGCTAAGTCAGAGCCCTCATGTCACAACAGGAGGACAGAGAAAATGTCTGCATTTAATGATGTCTCATACATGAGAGATATAATTTTGCGAAGGAACTTAGAACTGCAATCAATCAACTAAACATGAATTTGGTATATGCAAGTCTAGTATCATCAAGGAAATGTAAAAGTACTTAGCATTATAAATGCACAAGTTCACATCATTAGTAGCCAATAAGCACCAAAGTGGATTTCTTTGTTAAATATTCAGTTTGTAGTCCATCATCAACCAACAGAAAAGTCCTTGAGTGGTCCACATTTTTAAAGACCCACTTGCACTTCAAGTTCAAGTTGGATTGACCTGCTCGTCAATTACCTCAACCTATTTGAAATATATTAAAATATAGTTTAACAAAATCCCAATCTAAATAAACAACCTGTTAGATTCTCTTGCATACTCACTACACAACATCTAATAGCATCCATAGAAGGTCACGTCAAATGTCAAATACGGAACAACTCAGACTCTAGGCTTATTCATTCCAAAAATTAAATACAATAACTTTTGCATTCAAGTATTTGATTGGTTAATAGAATTTAACGTCTGACGTGACACTCTACAGGATGCCATTAGATTTTAGCCAATATGTGCACAGATCTAACATTTAATTTTAATAAGATTGACAAACTGAAAGTTCCTAAAACTGTTCTAGCACAAGCCTTTGTTTGATTAATTTCAGATTTTCAGCATTTTTGATCAGAATGATTTAAAATAAAATCTAATAAAGTGCCGCGCCACAGCATGATACGCCCGTCAAAAAATTACAATTTTCTTGAACAGTTTAGGTGCAAGAAAATCACATCAACCTTGATTCTAAGATTTCGATGATTTGTCATTTATCCATCCCCTGTGATGTAGGCATCAATTATAATAAATATTACATCACTGATAGATTTCTGTGCTGGTTGTGTTAGACCTTGTCAAATGCCCATCATCAAATTAGTCTTAACAACTTAATCTATACCAAATTAATTTTGAAAAAGGCTGGCCATCAAATGACATATGTTATAAACTGACCAGCAGTTCTTCTGTCTAATCCCCAAAGGGTTGCTTAATCAGAGCGACTGAGGCAGCTAGCCTTCCTACATTGAACTCATTAATTAATCTTCAACTGGATGCTTGTCTACTCATTACTACCAAGAGATGAATGGGTCTGCACGATCCACGATAATTTTTTTTTAAAAACATGTAAAATACTCTCAGATTTTTTTTTTGGTTGAGATTTAATGTCCAACAGGAATATGTAATTCATATGGCCATGCTGATTCCACCCCACCTCATAAAATTAGTTTTTAAATTAATAATATTATATAATATCAGATTAGTCTATTTTGCAATATCAAATTAGTTTTAATTACATGTACTTTTCATCAAATTCATTTTAAAACTTAGGCTAGCCAACAAGAGCTATTTTTAATCAAACAGGCTTCCCCATTTGCCCAATTCTCAAGGGATATAGATAACACCAATGCTATGTCAATTAGCTCCTCACACTCAAAATCCATTAATTTCTCTCTAATTTGACATGCAATTTTCTGTTATCAAAATTCTTCTTGACCAGTGTTTGATAATTACACTCATGGGAGACATAGGATTTCTCTAACATACATTATATTTGTTTTAGATTGCTGTCAAGTATATGCTTTAAAAAAATAAGTATTTTCTTGATTTAACACTTTTTTAATAAGGACAGTGCAATACTCTTACATTATTTGGGATGTGTAAATGAATAGTAAAAAGACACATTTTTTTTTAAAAATTCACCTAAATTAAAGGCTCAAGTGAGCTTTAGGTCGCTCTACACATTTTGTCCGTGCATCCGTCCAAGTTTGATGATTGTAGGTCTTATTGTTTTCTGTCCGGGGCTGTAAACTTTTTCACATATTTGGCTTCTTCTCAAGAACCACTGGGCCTACTTTTTGTGGACACACCTTGGTACAAGATGCATCCTTGATGACAAAGTTTGGTAATCCTAGGCCTAGTAATGAAAAGTTATATCCCCTCGAAAGGGGAGATAACAGACGAGAAAGACGGACGGACACGGTCATTAAAATAATCTTCTTCTCAAGACAGGCGTATAAAAATTTACGTGGAAAATCTCAAAAGGGGTATTAAAGTTGCCTCTTGTTCAAACACTTGACAAGGGATAATGAAATAAACAAACTTGTTATTATATGTAATGAATATGTATGTATGAAAAATCTTTCAGAGTAAATTAAGGATTTTTCTCATTTTACTTGGCCATCAAAAGCTGAAACTTATGTACCCCTAACCTAGACCCTTAAACCATGATTCATGATATTTGAATAACACATAGACCCACAGACCTTATAGGTCACCTGAGTATCATGTAAAGCCTACAGACAAAACATAGGAAGAATGAATGATTCCCTACTGACCCTAATATATAGTGCCAACTCTAAATTTTTTTTATGAATGAATCTTTTAAAACGTTACTTGTAAGTTGTATATGTTATATCCAGGGAATTTATTATAGCTGGGCAACTTTGCAGGCTTTTCAAACATGTTCAAGAATATAGACTTTGAGTTACCTTTCTTTGTAAGTCACAGAAATGCTTGATCATCTTCTTAACTTTAAGAAGATGCCATGTTATATAAATGTCATATCATTAAAGCAAAAAAAAAACAGTTAAAAAAATGAGCATCCATTTCAATGACATATAAAGGTTTATTTTTTACAGTTTTCAAAAAAAAAAAAAAAAAAATTTTTTTCTGGGGTATAAGATGCAAACACATGAATTTTGTTCATAATTTAATTTGCAAAAAGCCATGAAATTCACAATTTTCAACAGGTCCTTTCCCCATCACGGGGAAGACCTTAGTTTACATGCACCGCGGTGTATTACCCGCGCAGCCTATTTATGAGAAAATGAAATGAATATTTTTTAGCGTTTAAGAAAACGTTGAACCTACGCTTGCGAAGGTTCTAAGACATTCAAAGATATTTAATTTCTTCTTTATCAAATCAAGAAACTGGTTATACGTTAAATCAGCAAATAGGGGCCTTTACTTATGCCATGAATATCACAGAAAAAGATAGAAAGAAAGACTCAATGCCAATTAAAATCATACCAACAGTTTGACTGCTTGATGTTCAGGGGGGGGAAAGAAGAAGGGGATTTTCAAAGATTGCATGAATTTTAGTGGTTTTGGTCCCACCCCTCAGGCCCGCGGGGGGAGAGGTGGATAAAATTTATAAATTTTGTTCCCCTTCACCAAAATTGGTTGAAATTGGTTGAGCGGTTGCAGAGAAGCTGAAAATGTTGATAATACTTATCTTAAATAAATCATACAATTATAGTAGGTAGCTCGCAAAATGAGACTTCCTAAGAAAATGTTAACATCTGTTTATTTCATGGAAACATATATTAATAAATATATTATATAAAACTTAAAAAGTAGAGGAAAGCAGCTTACATGTAAACCCCCTCAACCCCCCCCCAACCCCAAAACACTCTGACTATGATCATGATGATAAATACTAAATAGAGAGCTTAACATTACACAGTGAGATTAACAAAATAATAGAAAATAAAAACATAAACTTTATGCTTTAGTCCTTAATTTCCTAAAATAGAGCTACATAAATTATATTAAGTTCTTACTCACTGTTAAAACATACCTTTTAACAAAAGTATTCTTCATCCTCTCTATTAGCCTTAGTTTTCAGATGATTTGTTCAGTGGATATCTGAAATTAAATTAGATCAAGTTAGTACAGTACCGTACATTTGTGACCGCGCGCTGGTCTGTCTTAGACATAATTCGGCGGTGCACGTTCATTTGGGGAATTTAGCTCAAGGGTTTGGGGAATGTTAGGAAACACATAAGTCCAAATTTGTAGGGTAACAATGACAGTTTATTAAAGTAATAATGAATTCCAACAGCATAAACACATAAAGATGCAAGTCCAAGTCCTAACTAAAATTTAGATAAAGTTGGCCTAAATAGAAATAAACTCTTAAGGGTTTCTAAGTCTAATTTCCTACATGGTTCTTAATATCAATTCTCTATAAAAATCAAAATTTTAAATAGGGATGTGGACATGACATATCTCCGATTTAGCTGAAATTCACACCATTTACTACAATTGGTATGTCTTTAATAAATATGATGTTAAAGTCTAACTTTTCAATTTGGTTGCCATGGTAACAGGGATGTTATATTTAGAACCCTCTGATTAAGCAAATTTTACTCTGTTTTAAATTAAATTTGTGCACATTCAATTAATTAGTAAAAATTCACATGAAAATTATATTATGTGAGCTCATATAACTTAAATCTGAGAA